TCTTGTTAGAGTGCTTTGCTTCCTGATCAGCCTCTACATTTTCACCTTATGCTTGAGCTGCTCCTGCAGGCTCTACTTCCTTGCCACAAAAGAGAATATCCTCTGTACTGTGTTCTGAAATAAGCCTCCAATCCCTCAAGTTGCTTCTGACTGGTAATTTGTTCAACAATGAGAAAAGCAACTAATAAATGCACTTTCCTGAGATAGTTTGCATTTCCAAAACTCCAATTCACTTGTGTACTTAATACCCACTGTACATAGCACAAAACATTACAAATAGGGGACTTTGTCAAGGAGTATTATCATTGTTAGAGAAACAGGAAAAGCATATTATTAGCTATCATTTACAAAACAAAAATAATAAGATTTAGGGGGACATGAAATGGCAGACAGAAAGGCTGACTAAGCAGTGAAAATCATTATGGAAGAAAATGATTTGGGCGTAGATATTTAGAACAGATGCACAAGATTTCAAACACTGGCAAGGATGAAGGAAGGCAGGAGGCACATGTACAAATTACTGACTTTTTGTTTCAAATGGGAGGAGGGTGGAGTGGCTATAAAGTAAGATAACCTAAAAGTGGTCTACTGAATAGTGTGAAGATCAGCCATGGTGCAAAAGGATGACATGCTTCAAGGACTCAGGTCTGAACAGTTAGCTTTCTGAAGTGCCGTAAGTCTACAGTCAATGTAGACTCTTATTACCTTTATGCAAAACTCATGAATCGTTTCAGAGAGATGATTATAAGAAATATAGATATTTCATATTCCACTTTCATCTTAAATTGTTTCTTTTTTATGCTACAACTCAAACCCCATTCCAGGTGGAACAAAAATCCGATTGGAACAAGTAATCACATGAGAAGATCACATAGAAGAGTTTTCTTCATGACTTTGGACAGGCAAATATTTTCCTACAGGTATCACTCAGCACTAACTACAAAGTTGATAAACTGCCCTTTCTTAAAGTTAAGACATTCTGTTCATTAAGAAATGTGATTAAAGGAGCAATGAGGCAAAGATGTGAGAGGAATAAGACACTTACAATATACGTTATGACTAAAATCCTCATATACCTAATATTTACAGAAAGTCTACAAATTAAGGAAGATGTATATGGTCCAGTTTGTCTGCTTAGTTCTACATAGTGATACCTTAAGACCTAGCAGCTCTCCAATGACCTATATCATTAAAAAGTGGAAATGTGCAAAAAAAAGACATTTATAGCAATGTTCTTTTAAGCATTGGTTTCAATTCTATGCCAGAAACGCCTCTAATATGTAAGAATATAATGGATGGTCATGTGTTCATCAAAGAAAAATAAATTACAGACACACTAAATAAAAGAATTAAGCAGGAAAGTCAGACAACTGATTTATCACTCCAAGATTCAATTCATATAAAGAATAAAAGCAGACAAAACTGGTTTTAGATAAACTGGTTTGGAATATCCACTACTTTGGGGAAGACGGAAACACAATGATTCTAGAGGGATGGCCTTATTCTTTACCTATGTATGTGTTCTAGTTTTCACACAGGTGTGCTAATTTAGAAAATTTCACTAAGTTTCACATGTAAGATCTTTGCACATTAAAACCTGTATGTTACAACTCAGTAATAAAGTCTTAATAATTTATTACATATTTTCTTTTTTAAAAAACATTTTACATTTTTTTGTCTATGAGTAAACTGCCTGCATGTATGTAAGTGCACCCATGTTGTGCAATGCCTGTGGAAGACAGAAGAGGGCGTTGGAGTCCCCTGCAATTGGAGTTATAGATGATTGTTAGCCACCATGTGGGTGCTGGGAATTGAACGCAGGTCCTCTGCAGAACAGCCAGTTCTCTTAACTGCTAAGCCATCTCTCCAGTCCCACTTTATTACATATTTTCAACTTACGTAGAAAGACTGTGTGTTGTCCATTATAGTTGTGTTGCATAGTAGAAGGGTATTATTAAAAACAGAACATTTTCAAACCTCATATACTGCAAATATTTATGTATCTTCAAATGACTGAATTGGAGAAGAATGAAGGCATATTGTACAGTAAACAGAATCTAGTATCATTGCAGTTGTGAGAAAAAAATCACTACACATTGCCAAAAAAAAAAATCTGTAGATTCTTTTTATCATGTTGTGGACAGTTACTTTTATTTTAATATTTAAATTGTGTAATGATTTGACAAAAGCCCATTAAACTTTATCAAACCATATCAAACTGACAATATATAACAGTATTGGTGCTTCCTACATATATGCTACTGTGGTATTTCATGTATTAACTAATCCTAACACACAAAGTGGAAACTGGAGAAGGATACTGTTATTTTTCTTTAAAAAAGAGAGGTCCAAGGATCATAGAGACCATGCATAAACTCAAGATCCAACACTAGGTTTGTTTCATGAATCTATCTTCAGCAGTTTAAGTTGCATGTTTTAAAACATTGCAGTACACTGGTTCTACTTCTCAAACGATCAACACAAGAAATCTATCTTCACACTTCCCCAGTGGATGATGGACTTCCCCAAAGTCGTGATGGAAGAACCATTGGGTCATGAACCATGCAGTGACTGTAATCCTTAGATGTGAATATATACTCATTTTTGAAAGTACAGGGATAGGGCAACACAAAAAAACACACAGTAAGGTAATTCTTGATTCTACATACATATAGAAAATTATAGTATGGAGAAAAATGACACTGACAGAGAAAGAATCATCTTTGTAAATGTATGCGTTAGAAGGTTTTGGACTGCAAAAAACCACTCAAGCCTTTGTGACGTGAACAAGAAAAAACTGGAGGCTCTGTGTTCTAGTGATTGGTCAATTGTAAGGAGAATCAGGCACTTTCTGTCATTTTGCTCAACAGGCAAAAAGGTCTTTGCTTTCATTCAGGCTGTCCATCCTCTTTGTACAAAGGCTGTATCTTTAAATTTCACAAATGTACACATAGGCAGTTAGACATTTTCTCTTTATGCATCTCTTTTTATTACAAAAGAAAACCCTTGCCAGTTCTTTCTTCATCCCTAACTACGATATGTCTTCCTTTCAGTATCTGTCCCATACTAAGCTAATCCCTGGTTGCAGGGATCCATTGTGATGACTGGCTTAGAATAAACCCACAGTCACCTCCTGACATAAGAAAGTGGACACTCCCAGCAAAACTAGAGGCTGTGGGCTTGGAGGGAGTAAAAGGGATGAAAGAGCCAGTGTTGGTACCCACCACTGTCTTCCACAAGAAAATAGAAATGCTACTACCAACCATGGCTTTGCAGGGAACAGCCTTAGCCACAAACCAAAGTGCCATTTGGGCATGAATTTTTTGTGGAAAAGATGTTTTCTTCTGTTTACACATAGAATTGCAACAATAAATAAAAGTACAAACAATATGTTCTTTGAGCATTCAAAAGACTTATGTATTGAATTGGGAATAACATGATGTATTATTGAAATGTTAACATCTAACATGGTGAATATTTGTCATTCTTTTATTAAAATATGACAATTTCCTTATTAAGTTCTTTATCATCTTTGCTCATTCTGAATTTCAGTTCTCTTTACAAATGTTTCAACAGATATAATGCACTTTTCAATGTGCCTCTCAATGACATAAAATGTGCCTTACAGAAAAAGTTTTCATCTTTAGTAACATATGACTGTTGCCTTACCAGGAGCACCTACCATGAACTCTTCTATTAGTTTCTAGGCACCAAAGCCAGTATCCTGAACTCCAGTCATGAAAATTGTGAATCATTAGCTCAAAAATACAAAATTGTAGATACAATACAAAAATTTAACAGCCTTTTTGAGTTTAAGATGCTGAAGATAAAAATTGAGAAGCTACACCTGATAAAGTTTGTGTGGCCCAGAACTTACTTCTTGGGGTAGGTGTGATTCCCCTTTCTTCCCTGTGACAGAAAGCCCGGGTTCATTTCACCTGAGACTTTGGAGCTTGAGTATAGAAGCACACCTGGGTTGTGGAAAGGGGCAGGCACTGCTGAGAATGATGTGAGTCTTGCTACGGAAAGATCACATTCCATTTGGTCACAAGCTGGATACTGCAGAGCAGAGACACAAAGAAAACTGAGATGACTCCTGGGAGTAACAAACAAAAGCAAGTGGAGTAAATCACTTCAAAATAAAAGCATGCTTATTATACACACAGCACTACACTCAGTAGGGTGGAATTTTCTGAATTTAATGGTAAAAACTCCCACTCCAGGTTACATGAACAATGAGAAAACGGGCAAGTGACTCTTTCACTGTTTGTCCTAGAACTGAGGTTTGAATTCCTGTCAGGCTATCAAAGATACATTAATAAAGCCCCCCCCCCTTTTTCACTAGTCCTACAAATGTTAAGTGCTGTGCTCATTCTGAGAAGATAAAGCTCTGCGTTTTTTGAGTGAAGTAGGGGTCTCAACAGTCAAGAGGTTTTGACCCCTGTCATCTTATGAAACCCCTTTTCCATTAGGTCCTCCAAGGTTAAACATCCGAAGAGAACACTTTCTCCCTTCTGGAAACTAGGTCCTAGACACAGATGGAGACCCCTAAGAGAAAATAAAAAGAAAGCATTTCTCTCATCATGCCCCTACGTCTCTTTTTGTGTGTCCAAGAGTGGAGGTTCTGAGCACACCCCGACGCTCACCTCCAGTTCTGGGGTCAACTTCTTTACAGCTTGGGCTGTTTGAAGGATCTTAGCTCCCCCAAGGGAAAGGAACTAGAGCGAGGATCTTTGGACACAGAATTGCTGAGAGGGGCGGGCGGAGTTGGGGGCCCTCCTCCCCCAGGATCCAGACCATCCCCGCCCCTGTGCCTGAGACCCAGAGCACGCCCACAAAGCTCCTGGCTCGCAGCTCCTCCGAACCCTTGGGACTCTGGCCAGGACTGGGTGGAGGTGGAGGTGGGGGTGGGCTACGAGGGCTCTGGCGTCACTTGCGCGCGTAGGGACCTCAATAAATGCCCGGAGCGCTGGGGAGCTGCGGAAGCGCCTGGCGCCAGGGCTCTGCGGACTGAGACTGCACAGGGCTGGAGCGCAGGTCGCGGCGGAGCCGTGCTAGTGTCCCCACCCCTCCTGCTGCACTGACCGCTCCCGGACGCTCGGGAGCCCACCCTGCCAAGCCTGCAAGGCAGTTCATTTCTGCAGCCTCTGCACGATCTCAGTTGAGAGCCCACGCCTGCTGCTCCTCACGGGTTTGCGAGGAGTCGCGCAGGCAGGGTCTTGCATCCCGGGTGGTCAGCGCGCTCCTGCTCAGGGTTGCGCTGTGGCGGGGGGATCCTTCCAGATCGGGGTCTCTTTGCAATCCTGTGTGGAGGCTGAGGGAGGCTTCGGAGGCCGGCTGTCCTGCTCCACTGAGCTCTCGCCGGGAGCATCACACTGGAGAGGTAAGGGAGGTTCACTAACCGCATCCTGAGTGGTCCAGGTGCCACGTTTTCCTAGCTCCCCTTTTCTTTGGAGGCTCTACTTTGGGTGGAAAAAAAGAATCAACTTGTAGAGAAACGGTGGGCCCGGACAAGGTTAGAAGGGTTGCATGGCGAGACGAGCTGAGCTAGTTCTCTCGAAAGAGATTTTGTAGGTTTCACCTTCTTCCCTGGCGCGCTCTCCGATGAGTTCAGGGAAAAGCCAGCGCTTGCTTTGTACAGGACAAACTCTGAAGTTGCCCCCGAGCTCATGGGCTAGGGCAAAATTTCTAGGAAACAATGCTTTCTCCTCGTAAGTTAGGTGCAAAATTTCTAGGAAACAATGCTTTCTCCACCAGCTTGTGGGTTGCTCCAGAGACCCGAACCATTCGTTTGCGGTGTTTATCTGGGCCCTTTCCAGGTACCCACGGAGACAGGCATGAACAGAGTAAAAATTCGCTCGATATTTCAGAACCTTATGGACTTTGTAGTGACTTTGAACGACAAGTTAGACGCTGGGATAAAATGCCTTAAATACAAAACACTTTAAAGTTCTATGGGAGAAATATGGACCTCTAGATTGAGATACAGCATACATGTAGATAAAATCCTTTGTGGGCTGCATGTAATCTATAAAACATATCTATAAACCTGTAATTAACAAATTATTTCAAACTTCTACTCTCCTGGGCTACTCCTGCCCCTTGTTTTATTTAGCCTCGTGTGTATCTTAGGAAATATTTAGTGGAAACGGTGCTCTGTGAAAATACTCCCGGGGGCGGGTAGGGGCAAAAAGGTGTGTAAAGTATTTCAAAAAAGTAAGTGCTTACTTGCTGGTGTTGTTTAGAATAAGTCAACTGGCACGTAACAACTGTTTTGCATTTGCTCTTAGAAAATTAGTATCTGTCGATAATTTTATCTTAATCGTGTGACCTGCCTTATAGCCAAAAGCAGTGGAAGAGCCTGACTTGGAGATTTTCCCGGGGAAACCCTGAGGCCATTCACTATGAAGTGTACTGCAGGGGAGTGGCTCAGAGTGAGCACAGTGCTATTCATGGCCAGAGCAATTCCAGCCATGGTGGTTCCCAATACCACTTTGCTGGAGAAACTTTTGGAAAAGTATATGGATGAGGATGGTAAATGGTGGATAGCCAAGCAAAGAGGAAAAAGAGCCATCACAGACAATGACATGCAGAGCATCTTGGACCTCCATAATAAACTGAGAAGTCAGGTGTACCCAACAGCGTCTAATATGGAGTATATGGTAAGACGTTTTTCAAGTGATATATAAATATATATGAAATATATTTCAAGTGATATATATATATGAAATATTTATCAATGCCTTTAGCTGCCATGAATTTTTTCTTGCTGTTCTTTAATTTTTTTCCCCTTGTCCCGTCTAAACGTTTTTTTTTTTTTTTAATTTCTTCCAGGATATCTTCCAGGATATCATTAGTGTTCCTATTGTCATTGGCTCTTTATTTCAGTGTAGAACTGAATATCTTCAGATTCCATGTTCCTACTAGGTGTTCTAAACTCTACTCTGTCTTGAAGGAAGGTTACTGTCCTCCTAAACAGCTGCTGTATTGACGTTAATTTTTTTTTATTATTTTTACTTATTTTATATAGGGGGTCACACATGCCATTATGAGGAGGTGGAGGTCAGAGGACAACTTTCAGGAATCAGTTCTTCCAACATGTGTGTACTAGGGATCAAACTTAGATCCTCAGGCTTATGCTCTAATACCTAACTGATGCAGTCTTTCTATAAATGATGGATCTGGACAATTCAAAGACAGAATTTGAAGAAAAGCCTGGATTGCATGTGTGTGTGTGTGTATGTGTGTGTGTGTGTGTTGCATATATATGTGTGTGTTTGTATATATTTATATGTATACATGCATATTGAACTTCTGTTTCTCAGAAAAATGAAAATGACATTGTGATTGCTTTTAGGTTAGATTGCTTTGGTCATGAGTTCCTTCCATGCATTTATTAAATATAACCCTAGGCAAGGGATTAAATGAAAAAAATCATGTTATCCTTAATCACCTCATATTTACTCAGCATAAATTAACAAGTTTGAGAAACAAAATTACTTCTTTAAAATGATTAGCATACCTTACATATTTAAACAAGTTTTCAAAATGTATTACATTATTTCTATGAACTAGGAATGCACTGCACTGATAAAGCCTGAGAACAAGTACCTTGGTGATAGCAGAGCTTCCTTAAGGAACAGCTAACATAGTATTTCTCCTTTAGACATGTAGGGTGCAGTTGGTTTCAGTATATTCTGGCTTTTCTTTTCTTTTTCTTTCTGTATCTATTTTAATATTAGTTTTTCTGGATATTGTTTTAGATAGCTTTCAAGAAACACTACAGTTCAAATTTTCATTACCCATTACAAAATAGTACATTGCATCATTTATTTCACCTGAAAACTGTTTTACCGCAAAGAAAGCAGGCAGTGCTTAAGACATGTCATCAGAGACTAGGATTTAAGTTTCAGGTAGCAGGCAGTCTGGGTTTGAATTCTACCACTGATACCCATTAGCTATGTGAAGTTGGCCACTTACCAGGTTTCTGGGGGTTGTACTGAATTTTATACCTCCTCATACTGTTTAAACATGACATCCAAGGGAATTGCTAACTCTTCTTAAAATTCTGTAGAAGCTATGACATCTTTAGTGTCTCATAATTCTGTATCAAGTGTATTTGGAAGTGTTTGTCTAAAGTGACAAATTCTTAAATTCTTTATCTCTCAGTCTTCAATAGAGTTGTGAAGCCTCTTGCTACCGTACATTATTTATTCGATGCAGACATGCCTTTAGTTGTTCATTTGATGTTTTGGGGTGTGTGTGTGTGTGTGTGTGTGTGTGTGTGTGTGTGTAGTGAGCTCCAGGGATCCTCTTGTCTATGCCTCCCAAGTGCAATGATTGTAAGCATGGGCTACCTTGCCTGGTTTTTATGTGGGTATGGCCATCTAAACCATCTTCTCAGCCCCTTCAGTGGCTTTTTAGTTAAAAGGTAAGCAAGAACTTGAGGATTCATTTCCACAAAAGGGAATCCGAGGATTTCCGTGTGTGATTTATGTAATATGGAAATCCTAAAAAATCAGTTCTGTGATTCCTTTTCATGTCTACCTTTAAAAAACAAAGCAAATAACTTCCTAATGTATATATGATGTTTAGGATGCTTATTTGGGTTCCATTTTAGTTTCATTGGTTTCTTTCTAGCCTTGAAATGTAGATTCAGAAAGCAGCCAGGGTTTATGTTATGTTGCCCTTAGATACTGTTAGCACTGGAACTGTACACTTGTCATTAACCAGGCTGCAGAATTCAGTGCCCTACTCTGATATTGGGAGATATTTTTAGAATACGTACTGAAAAGGAAGTTTAAAAAATAGTGTTTATTAGAAATACTGTTGATTTTATGCATTTCATAGGAATATAAATGCAGACTGATCAATCTGTTAAAATAGAACAAGCTCAAATCGTCATTTTAAATGAATCTATTTTGAGAAATAAAACTAATAGCTGACCAAAGAGCCATTTTCTGTAAAACTTGCCATGTCCTGTGATGAATGCCACCATTTTGACCACCTATACTCTATATGTCATTTCTTATTAACTGCTTAATGTCTACCTTTAAAAAACAAAACAACTTCTTAGTGTATATATGATGTCTAGTCTAGGATGCTTATTTGGGTTCCATTTTAGTTTCATTTGTTTCTTTCTAGCTAATAGCCAATCTCCTTATTTGTAATTAGTGCATATTTTAGTCCTACAGTGGCCCAGCCACATGCAGGCTTGTTAATGTCATCTCACCTTTACCCATGTCCTCCTTTAACTTGTAGGGTTAAAACTGACTGTTGAAAGCCGTGTCTTTTCTTGAAGAGCTTATAGGTTAAGAAGAAAGAATGGACAGACTTGATATCTTCTCATACATGGGTTGCAAAATTCTTTGATCCTGCCAGTGAACAATGTCAAGGCCACTGAGAATAGTGACTTAGTCCTCATTATAACAGGGACTCATCAACAGGGACTGTGATGAGGGGTGCACTGTTTCTTGAAGGATGTCAGCACTGTAGACTGAAGGAAAGATGAGAGCATGTCATTTGGAGGAGGAGTGGACAGATGCAGATGGCAGGAATTGTCAAGCTGGTTTTGGAGAATGAGAGACTAAGGAGGTGAAAGTATAGAGCAGCAGCAGAATCTGGAATGGGAAAAATAAGATATCGATGAGAAAACTCAGTAATCTTAGGAAGAGTGATTATGTTCATTTGTTTTAGGGTGAATTGAGCATTTAAAGCATCGCATGAGGCTGTTACTGAAGAGACAGAGATTACAAATAGCAGCCTACTCATATCTTGTCTCTGCTGCCTACTGGAGTGTGAACTCTGGCAGTCCACTGCCATTCTGGGCCTTAGTAAAACTGGTAGAAAAATACAAACCCCAGAGATTGTATTAAGATGGGACATTTGAGTCTGTTGAGCTGATTCGCTTTCTTTAAGCCTGTCTTTCCTTGGGTTATAAGACTCTGTGGCATAGTTTGTTCATCTATATGTCCTTCTTTCTTCTTCACCATTAATAATGTGTTCTCTGGGATTTTGCTCTACCAGTAAAGTTTAAATACAGTCAGGTTTTCATGGGTGTCTCCCATATCTCCATCTGGCAACCCTCTCTGCACTTCTTTCACGTTTCCCCATGTGCATGGGATTGTTTCATTGCACGTGACTTCAAGAGAAAGCCAACTGCCTTATGACATCTGTTGAGTCCTTCCTAAGAAACGATGAATACATCTTCAAGTCTTTATGTCTTATTTCCATATCTACAAACATAACATACACATCTGCTGACCAAGCTCTTTAGAGTTTATCTCAGGGGTGTCCTTGAATCTGTATCACCTGTATCTTAATTTTTCTTTCCCTTTATTTTTTGTCTTTTTGAGACAGGGTCTCCCTGCAGCCTCAGATAGTCCCACTATGTAGACCAGGGTGGCCTCGATCTCACAGAGAGTCACCTTAATTTTTCTTTAAAGACTTTGTTTTTATTTTATGTATATATGTGTTTTTTCCTTTTATAATTAAATTTTTGTGAATTTCATGCAACATATTTTTGTTTGCACTTAGATCCTCTTCCTTATCCTTATCTGCACCTCCCTTACCACCCCTGCCCAATTTCATGTACTCAATTATATGTGTGTGTATATCTATATATCTATGTCTATATCTATCTATATCTCTATCTATCTATCTATCTATATCTATCAATCATCTATCACCTATCTATCTGAGAAATTTGATGGGGGGGCGAGAAGGCAGCTGTAGATACAGGAGGGGAATCCAAATATGATAAAAATGTATTGTATAAAATTCACAATAATTCAATAAAAATAAAGTCTTTAGGCTATGTGGTGGTTTGAATGAGAATGTCCAAGTATTATCTATCTATCTATCTATCTATCTATCTATCATGTATCTATCTATCTTCTATCTGTCTATGCCTAGAGAGTCAAATTTGTGTCCTCAAATGTACTTTGGAGTGACTTCATCCACTGGAGCCTGGTTAATTCACCAAAATTCACACCCTCTTTTTCCCAGCAACCATCAATTTCCAGTAGCTCCTCAGATAGGGTTGGTGTTTCTTGCTTACTTCCCTATGTCTTTGCAGGTATTTTGCCTGTTTTGAGCTTACATGGGACTTGTGCATTTTGTTACTGTTGCTATGAATTCATATCAGTAACTGCCCAGCTGTCTGGAGAACTCTGTTTCCTTGTGGTCATCCACCACCTCTGGCTCTTACGATCTTTCCACTCCCTCTTCTGCAATGATCCCTGAGTCTTGGGAAGAAGTTTGATACAGGTGTCCTTTTCAGGGATAAGCACTCTGCAGTCTTTTATTCTCTGGACTTTCATCAGTTCCAGATTTCTCTGTTAAGCACCATATGCTGCATAAGGAAACTTCTCTGGTGAGAACTGAGAGATGTTTTATCTATAGGTATAACAGTAAGCCATTAGGAGTCAGTTTAATACCATATCTATTTAGCAGAATAATAGTATTCGGTTCTCCCCCTGTCTAGCCATGGGTTCCTAGGCCTGATATCAATGTCAGGTATGGGGTCTGTCTTATGAAGCAGACCTTAAATCCAATTATAAAGTGATTGGTTACTCCCATAATATTCATGCCACTTTTGCACCAGAGGGCATGTCTTGCTAGGCCAGTTGTAGCTCATAGGATTCACAGCTGAGTAAGGTTA